TTATGCTGTTGTATGGAATTTTTTTTGTTTTTCAAGATATCTTGACCAAACTCGGCATTTATTAGTTTTACTATGCTCCCTCCACTTTTGCAAAATCTTATTCACATCGGGCTACTATATCATATAGCTGCCATAGGAACGATCGGTCGAAAATTAAGTTGTTGTACGGAAACCTGTTTTGTTTTTCATGATATCTTAACCATACTCGGCATTAACTACTTATTTTCCCTATGCTTCTTAGATACGGGCATAACACTATAAGCATTTTGAAAAGGTTGGGTCTGCAAGGGTATTAAATCTTCGGTGTGCCGAAGATAGCACTTCTTTCTCGTTTTTTTAATTATATTAGGTATTTAGTTTATGTATCACGAAAATCCCTTTGTTTTACAACCACCTAATTGGATTTCTACTTTGCTTGAATTGTTCAGACACGTCAAGTTCTTTATAAAAATGTTTGATTTAGTTGTAATACTGTGTACAATTACACTGGTTGATCAGAGAAGACACCAGTTGTATGGATAAGTATCACTCGCGAACTTTAATTTATTTCGTTTCACAAAATGTAACGGTATCCTACCTGCTGCCCCAATAACGTAGTTATAAGTTTGAAAATCAAAATACTGAATTTTTTCAGTTTATTATGTTGAATATCTGGATTAAGGCCGAAAAAAAAATTGGCTTACACTATATTTAAAGCTAAACAATAATTGGAGTATAAGACTTCTTGCAAAGGTTTATGCTAGCGCCTTTCTGTTGGTCAGTTTTTGTGTATAAATGATTATTATATGGATAACGATCAGCGTATCTCTCGTTGCCTTTCCTTGTACTCAGCAATAAAAAGAGTTTCGCGAACGCAACTATAAAATTTTGTATTCCCTTTTGGATCTGTTATCTGATGCGGATTTTTTCTACGCGACACAAACGCTTGCTGTATGCCATTACCCGCTTCTTCGTTTTTCACTTGTTGTCTTTGTTCTTCTTCAATACTCTTGATTTTCAAATCAGACAAGGACGGCAACTGCTCACGCGTTTCGATTGCTACAACGAAGTTTTCGAACTTTTTGCCTAGTCCCGTTAACAGCAAAATTGCGAGCATGTCTTAATTTATATTCATTTCGATTTCTTTCAATTTTTCAACTATGTTGGAAAACTCATTCACATATTTTTGCACACTTGCACCTTCTGGCATACTCAATCGTAGCAAACGCGGTTGATGCACACTTATTAGCTTCTCCAATGCTTCTTTGGACGACACCAAATTTTTTGGGAAACAATTTTTTGGGAATCCGACATTTGTTATTTAATTTGTAGGAATTATATAAATGTAAAAAAGGAAATGCAATATATAATAAAATAATAGCTGGGAGAATTGCTTAAATTATTTCAATTAATTGTCCGTGAAGATGAAAACGGTTGATATCATTTTTAAATAATAATATAAATATTTATTTTCTGACTTAAACAGAAATTATTTCTGAATTTAATAAAGCAATATCATGAAAAAAAAGTAACTGTTCTGTTTAAGGAGAAGCTCTATCTTGCAGACCTAACTTAGCAGGTAAGTCGCCCATGATTTGCGTTTGTAATTTCCTTTTTTGGATTACGCAGATTTTGCAGGAGTTGATTATGGATTTGACCATCCCCTTGAGTGAAAGAGTGAAAGAGGTCAAGAGACGAGAATATGCACACGTGTATGGCAGTATTATCGGATGTCGCTCATCGTAGCTGAGTGCTTCGGCCGCTCTTACGTGACCACATGCTCGAATAATTCCCTTTCTATCTAGAAAAGGGTTCAAATTAAGGAGCTTGCTGGAAGTGAGCGGTTTTTTTTTGCTACTCTCAGGTAGCGGATCGTCCCAGCCCAGTTCTTGGAGCCAGATCTCCTGCATGAATATTTTTGACTGAATAATGACTGGACCCAGCCAACCTGCTGGGTCGAACAGTTTGGCAATCTGTGCAAGGACTTCACGTTTTGAGACGGACTGTTTGGTTGTTAGCTCGGATGGAGCGAAAAAGAACTCATCGGTGTCAGCTTTCCATCTGATCCAGAGTCTTTGCCGAACAGGCTTCCTCGATCTCTAAGAAGTCGGCGCGAAGCAAGAGGTCCTTGGGAATCGCTCTTAGCAAGTCCTTTTCATTGGGTGTCCATTTTCGCAAGGGGAACCTGGCAGATTCAAGGGCTTTGCGGCGTTCTGCAATTGCTTGATCTGCCGTTGATTTGGAATGGGCTCCCGCTAGTACATCGTCGACATACATATTGTTTGCGATAATGTGACTTGCTAAGGGATAGAGCGAACGAACGTCATCAGATAACTGATGTAGTACCCGGATTGCCAAGAAAGGGGCACAGTTAACTCCAAACGTGACTGTGCTGAGCTCGAAGTCATGAAGCTCGTTGTCACCGCATCGTACTGCTCCTTAAGGGGGGCATTTTTTGCCAGACGATTCTCATTTCGTAGAAATTGAGCTAGTGCGATGGACCTTGAATGGCCTAACTGGATGTGATCGGAATTCTTTAATGGCAGTGTGACCAAGTATCTGCCGTTTTTATCCCTTTTAGTGTTTTTTTGGAAATTGCGCTCACAAAACAGGTCGGATTCCTTTTCCAGCTTTACTGGAATATCCTCCACCTCCCAAAATTTTGTGAGCAGTTTATCCAAGCTCGCATTTTGATTCAGCGAGACTTGAGTCGAAAAGGATGCGACAGATTTGGCACTGGTCTTAGAAACGGGGCCTCTAAGGATCCAGCCGAAAATCGTTTCTTGACCAAGGAGAGTGCCACATATGTTGGGATAGGAGCCACCTAACAATATGGATGGGAGGATATCGGCGCCGAGAAGCACGTCTATCTGTGAGCTCCTATAGAAAGAGGGATCGGCCAAGTGTAATTTTGGAAGTTCTTCCAAAGCAGTTTGGGGGATGGTGTAGGAGGGCAAATTGCCTGCTAGCTTTGGAAGAACATAAGCCGAGGTTTCAATATGAACCCTGGGCTTTATCAGAGAGCCAATATTAAAATGGCAAAGTTTTTGAGGTTGAGCCGAAATAGCTTGATTCTAACTGGAGACCTGTGCGTCGACGGGTTGATAAGGAAGTTTAACCCTTTTGAACAATCGCTCTGAAATAAAGGTCGCTTCAGACCCAGAGTCGATTAATGCCCGAGCTGTATACTTTGTGCCCAAATGACACACTTGGATGACAGCCGTGCCGAGGAGAACACCATGTGAGTTTGCGGAAAAGTAGTTTTGAACGGTAGCTTGGGTCGAAGTAGAAGTGGACTGTATAGACGAAGGATGGTTCAAAACTATTGGTGTTGTGGAAGCTGAGGGCACCTGAGGTCTGTCACGGTGTGACGTCCCTTGCACGTGAAACAACTATGTGCGCTGCTGCAGTCTTTCAACTGGTGCTGTCTGGCGAAGCAGTTTAAGCACAACTTTTGTTGCTTAATGACGGCAACTCTCTCGGGTACGGACATTTGTAGAAAACGTGGGCATAGACGCACGGGATGGTTTACCTTCTGACACAATTTGCAGTGTTGTGACTTTGTAGTCACTGTTGCTTCGAAGGTTCTCAGGTGGTTGGACTCTTTTCTTGTGGGTTTGGACTGGGGTGGCGTATGTGCGGTAGGTCGTACATCCTCGTCAGCGTTTTAGAGGAGCACAAGAAAATAAGCAGACAATCCCAATTTTCGGTGCTCACCCTGGACAAGTCGAGAGCCGTTAAACACCCTGGATTGTGCCCTGAAGCTCTTTAAGGGCGGCTCCGGACTCTTGTGTTGCTGGGGGAGATTGAAAAGAATTTTCAAGTGACTATTGACTAATAGTCGCTTATTCTCAAATCTCTCCGTCAGGCTCGCCCACGCTGACTGAAAGCCGTCATTCGTGAGCGGGGACTTGGAGACAATTGCCCTAGCTTCGCCGCTGGTTTTGGAATTTAGATGGAACAATTTTTCCACCGGCGTCAATCTTGGATTGTTTATATAAACCGCTGTAAACAAGTCTCGGAAAGTAGGCCAGCGTAGGTAATCCCCACTGAAAACTTCAGTGTCGCATGGCGGGAGACTGCAACCCGTGGACATGGAGAAGTTGGAGGGGGGTTGCTCAGCTTGTATATTTAAGGCCGTGGCTTTTTCTATTTTCTTACTTAGCTGAGCCGCACATCGCTCGTAAACGGAGTACGAGTAATCATAGCTTGCATAGCCACCAGGTCACTGCTGCTGCAAGCGCCTTGGTTGAGAGCTTTGGAACATAACTCGTACGTGCGTTCTACCTTTTCCCATAAAGTCTTAATCTGATCTCGTCGGACTTGGAGAGTGAACAGTGACACGTCACTGTCCGCTGCGTCATTGAGCTTCACTTTAAACTGGCCTAGTCGGTCAATTATAGAAACGAAGTCGTTCAGTGCCATTTCGCTTGACTTCTGCATTTTTTGCGTAGTTGAACGGGTAATTTTTGGGGTAATATCTCTTGTTGGAATCGGACTCACAGTCTTGCGGACGGTTGTGCTGGTACTCCCGACCTTGAGTTTCCCGAAAACTGCTCTAGGTGAGGTTAAAGGTCGCTTTGACTCCTTAACGGACGGTGCTGTGAGTCGTTTGTGGCTGTTTTGATCACCACCGATTGTCATACTAGGCTCTTCACAGAGCCAAAAATTGTAATAACCAGGTGAAATGTGATCAAATACAAATAATTTGAATCAGCCGATTCTTTTTTTTTTTTAACATAGAATTATTTATATAAATTGTTATTTTAAGAAAAATTGCACGGATATTCGATTTATTACGCAACTTGGAAACGTCTTAACTTATAATTATGATTTATACATTTTTATAAGAATACGAAAAAGTAATGCATATGTTTGTGTTTTATTAAGTAAACGCAGCTCAGTGGCAAAGTGGAAACATACAAAAATATAAAAGTTTCTCAGAATCAGTTTATCGAAAACCGATCTTGATACTTTACAACCCTGATGTTTGTTTACCTTTTGCACTTGCCAATTAATTTGTAAAAAGAAATATATAAATTTCTCTTGAAGCTGCTGTGGAGGAAAAATAACCAACGATACACATATAATATGAATTGCGTGTGTGTGTATACATGCAGGTGAATTTGCAGTCTGGTTTTAATTAACTAAATACCAATCAGAATTGTGTGTTTTTTTTTTATATATTTAGGTATGTGATTATTTGGTGAAGTCTAGAATGGAGAAGCGCATACACTTGGTGTTCAACGGAGCGAAAGCCCATGTGTGCAGAGATGTCTTGATGTACTTGCGTACATCAATATGGCGATCGGTTAAATTTTTGGGTATGCACTTGTACATATATATACATATGTACAGACACCAATATGGCGACCTTTTTTTGGAGCCACTTTGTGTTTTATTTCTTTTAATATCTGGCACTTTTAGAAGCCCTTATGGCTACGAACAATATTTTATTTGAGTTTTTTAAATACAATTGCCCCTTGCTTCAACCACGGACAATGTGAAGCGAAAAAAAATATGTTCAGACACACAAATATGAATAAATCGGACTGGAGTTGCCGGAAATTTGGCAATGGACGAGTTGAGGTAGGTGCACTGCTACTTATCTTGTTTGAATTTGTAGCTGTTCCTGGAACCTTTTGTTGCAGATCCACCAATGCTTGCTGGGGCGAACTGGATATGCTAGATGTTGAAGAAGTATCCGGCTCGAAGGACCAAATGTTGTAGTAGGGCGTCCGCAGGGCTTCCAGGTGAAACTTTACGAAATGAAGTATCGTTGGGGGAGCGTTTCTGCTCTGCACAATTTTCATAATAAGGTTTGAAAAAAAAACACGTTTTGTTCGCTTGAAGGTTATTTTTCATCTGTTCTGTATTTTCAGAGTACATTACAATGTATTAGTGTAAGTGAGGTGAATTTCATGTTCCATGTACTGGTTCCGGAGTTACATGGCGGTTGGATGGCGACTGCCGGATACACTTCTTGTGTGAACATAAGTATAAATGTCTTTGGGTATGATGAACAAATTAACGAGATCATTGGACCGTTTTACTTAACTAACGAAAACCGGAGAAAGCATATTGATCTATTGCTTTTGGAAAATCAGAATATCTCACATTATGCCTGGATTAAGAATTTATCACGGAAATGTGTGTGGTTACGATTTCTTCTGATTTAGAAGAAATATTCGTAAGCCACTCAGCCATGATAAGTTCAAAGATGGGTGAATTTCAAGAGAGAGATAGTGGTTGGACTCTCATAAAAATGTTATGTCTTGAAATGATTATCAACAACAATAAGCCACTAAGAGGCTCCAGCTTTATTCCGTTACCACGGAAATTAAGTTTGAAGAAAGCCATAATAAACATCAAAAACGAAGATGAGTTTTGTTTCATGTGGGCTTTATTAGCAGCCATAAAAAACTCTACATAATACTGCTAGGTGTGCATCTTATAAAATCAATGATATAAGGAGTCCAGTTATTGAAATTGATGAGATATTCTCACTAAAATTTCATAATATGGAATTTCCGCAAAAGCTCAAAGACATTAAAATGTTTGAAGAACAAAATACTAACATAAGTATAAATGTCTTTGGGTATGATGAAGAAATTAACGAGATCATTGGACCGCTTTACTTAACTAACGATAACCGGAGAAAGCATATTGATCTATTGCTTTTGGAAAATCAGAATATTTCACATTATGCCGGTAGGTAAACAAAACAAAAACAAAAAAAATGTTTATATATATATATACATTTCTTTTTTAATATCATTCATATTTTCTCCTTCAGGCTTACACACAATCAACTGACTTCACATACGAGGAAATTACATTTCTGTAATGTATGCGTGAACTTTTCACATAACGAGAGGTTGCATAGTGAGCAGTGTGGAAAAGCAACGGCGCGAATACGTGAACAAAACATTCGACAGGTATCTCAAAGCTAACGGTATTGCACGGCAATTGACGATACCATATACGCCAGAGCAGAACGGCGTGGATGAGAGGGCGACCCGTACTTTGGTTGAAATGTCACGATGACTACTAGTACATTCTGTACATACATACATACATACTGGGCGATACTCGAGCCGTTACATTTGACTGCCAACAAGTGCAAAGAAAACTGAAAACTGGTCAATCGAGCGCAGAGATCGACAGGGCAGCAGACTGGAGAGTGTACGTTTCATACTAGCTCTGGCTGCGAAGCTTAAGCTGCATATGCACCAGATGGACGTGTGTGCAGCATACCTAAATAGTGACCTGGAAGACACCATTTACTTAAAACAACCTGATAATGATCAGCCAAACAAGGTACTATTGCTGAGCCTTGCTTGTATGGGCTCAAGCAAGCAGGAAGGGAGTGAAACAGCAAGCTCGATGGAGTTTTGCGACAAATTGGATTTGTTCCCTGAACCTTGCTTGTACCAGAATAAGAAGGAAAATATTTGCTATGACACTTATTTACGTAGATGACCTTATTATAGCAAAAAGGCAAAAAAAAAATATCAGATTCTTTCGAATGCTTGGACAAAGGACCCTTGCAGCTCTTCAGGTGTTGGGTGAAATCAAATTATGTTAGCTGTGTCGGCAAGGCATGGAAAACTGCAGATCAGCCGCCACGCATTTGGAGGCAGGATACCAAAATGTGTGCATAAGTGAGGAGTGTCGCAAGGTAGATGCGCAGAAATTCCAATAACTTATTGGCGAACTACTGTGGCTGGCGTTGTCGACTAAGCCGGATATTTTTCATTCAGTGTTGTTTCCATTTGTGTGTGGGAAGCAAGATCACATAGAGGAGGGGGGAGTGCGTTGGTGTCGAGTGCGCAAGACGGGAGGGGGATGGAAGGGGAATTGGGTGGGCATGGAGAAAGGGACGGTGGTGTTATGTTTCCATTTGTGTGTGGGGAGCAAGATCCCTTTTGTTTACGCTGGATGCGATTAGTTGGGATAGGGAGAAGGGGAGGGGTAGTGCGCTGTTGACGCATGCGCAAGCTGCTATGTTATCAGCGAGTTTTGTGTTGAGCGAATCGAGCCCTTGAGTGTGGGAAACTGAAATGAAGTGAGTATTATTTTTAAATAAAATTTATTTAGTGAACTGAAAGTATTAAAGTGAAAACGTCATCGAATTCAGAAAGCAATATTCAAAAAATGTCGTCAACATCAACAAGCAATAATCAAAGTGCAGAACGCTTTTGTGAGTGTTTGTGGAGTAAGTATACCTCATAATCGCTGGACGCAACATTTGCGAACAAATGATCGTAAAAATAAGGCCTTTACACCTTTCGATGATTATGTTAAACTTGTGTCATCTGTGTTCAAAAACCGGATTAATACATATTTTTATATTTAGAAATTTCAGCATTTCTATTTCAGCAACAAACATTCAATAATTATTCAGGATAGCGGGTGTATTTTGGTGGTCAATAAGTTGCGAAATTTATACACTTTTGAAGGTAAAACCAACTGTTATATTGCCGCATGTGTGCACGGAGCACTTTGGCATAAGCGTTATGGCCACATAAAATTTCGGAGCCTGACTGACTTTACCAAAAAGAAAATGGTACGTGGGATGGAAGGAGCTGATTTTTCATCCAATGTGTCATGTAAGACATGTATGCTGAGCAAAATGCACGAGCAATCATTTCCTCATTCAACGGAAAACAGAGAGAGTGAACTTCTGGAATTTGTTCATTCTCATGTGTGCGGACCATTTGAGACAAAATCACTTGGCGGAAATCGATATTTCCTATTATTAAGCGATGGTAAGTCGCGGCGCATCTTTATATATTTTCTAAAATGGAAAGATGAAGTTTTTTCAAAATTTATTGCATTAAGAATTTGGTGGAAAATCAAACTGGTAGACGAATAAAGTGTATTCGCAGTGGCAACGGGCGCGAATACGTGAACAAAACATTCGACAGGTATTTCAAAGCTAACGGTATTGCACGGCAATTGACGATACCATATACGCCAGAGCAGAACTGAGCAGGCTGAGAGGGCGAACCGTACTTTGGTTGAAATGTCAAAAACAAAATGAGTTTTGTTTCAAGTGGGCTTTGATAGCAGCCCTAAAAAACTCTACATAATACTGCTAGGTGTGCATCTTATAAAATCAATGATATAAGGAGTCCAGTTATTGAAATTGATGAGATATGCTCACTAAAATTTCATAATATTAAAGTTCCGCTAAAGCTCAAAAACATTAAAATATTTGACGAACAAAATACTAACATAAGTATAAATGTCTTTGGGTATGATGAACAAATTAACGAGATCATTGGACCGCTTTACTTAACTAACGAAAACCGGAGAAAGCATATTGATCTATTGCTTTTGGAAAATCAGTATATCTCACATTATGCCTGGATTAAGAATCTATCACGGTAGGTAAACAAAACAAAAACAAAAAAAAATTTTATATATATATGTCGTGTATCCAACAAATTATTGTGAGCATTATTTTTGAATGCTAACGATTAAGTGTTAGTAAGAATCAGAGAATTTGACAGAAGGTACTGCTACTTAACATAACTGTCCTACTTGTATTAGGGTTGCTACTGAAAGCATGGTGTGAGACAAAGAAGATAGTCTCTGCCGAGCATGGCCCGAGTGTGTTGTATAACGTTCAGTTTGGTATAGTGATGAGTGTTCACTAACAGTACTAAAAGTCAGAGAAGAATGTAGAACGACAAGAGCATGAGTAGTATGCTCGAGGACGATGAAAATTATTCATTCTAAAAGTGAAAGTCATAGAAAACGGACGTGCTCGCTCCTAAGAATATAATTTTTTTGTGACTATAACGACACTCGGGACTTGCTGTGCTGCCAGTATGCCTAATTGCAAAGAATGTGATTTCTCTGTTCCGACACATATATATACACTAGCGGGTATAACCCGGCCTTGCCCGTGGCACGTATGTTATAAAATCAATGTTTTCAAAAAGCTTTGAAAATGATTTTGAAACTTATCGGACGGGAATCAAACAAACTTAAAATTCACCAAAAAAAACTTTGAAATGCATTTTCCACCGAAGGAGTTTAGATTTTGCGAAAAATGTGAAACACGTCTCAAATCATTTTTCTTATAGATCTTTGGAAACGAATTTGAGGGCAAAACGTCACCCACCAAATTTTTGACCCCCATTTCCACCAAGAAGTGATGGATTTTCCAAAAAGTGCGAAAGACCCCTCAAATGAATTTGAACAAAGACCTTTCAAAATCAATCGGATGGTAAACAAAAAAGTTACATACAAACGTTTCTCGCGATTTTTCCATACTTGAGGGTGGAATTTCCCGAAACCCCGTCTTAACGTGCACCTACATTACATAAGGTAACTACAGTGAAAATTTCAGCTTCCTAGCTCTTACGGTTTGGGCTGTGCGTTGATCACCAATCAGTCAGTCAGTCAGGACAAACAGTTTTATATATAGAGATTCATTTTTTAATATCATTCATATTTTCTCCTTCACGCTTACACACAATCAACTGACTTCACATACGAGGAAATTACATTTCTGTAATGTGTGCCTGAACTATTCACATAACGAGAGGTTGCATAGTGAGCAGTGTGGAAAAGTGGTGGCGAAGCTTCCAGTAGCAGATAAGGCGAGTCTTAAATTTAAGAATTATGTAAATAGCTTAGAAATTTCTTTAATAATTTATGCAGATTTCGAGTGCGTTTTGAAACCCATCAAAAGGAATGTGAGTGAGAATCATAAAATGTGCATATGACCAAATAAATTTGCTATATATAGTGGTGAAAATGTGGGATTACATTTTGTGACAATGGGCGCGAATACGTGAACAAAACATTCGACAGGTATCTCAAAGCTAACGGTATTACACGGCAATTGACGATGCCATATACGCCATAGCAGAACGGCGTGGCTGAGAGGGCGAACCGTACTTTGGTTGAAATGTCACGATGACTGCTAGTACATTCTTTACATAAATACATACGTACTGGGCGATACTGGAGCCGTTACATTTGATTGCCAACAAGTGCAAAGAAAACTGAAAACTGGTCAATCGAGCGCAGAGATCGACAGGGCTGCAGACTGGAGAGTGTACGTTTCATCCTAGCTCTGGCTGCAAAGCTTAAGCTGCATATACACCAGATGGACGTGTGTACGGCATACCTAAATAGTGACCTGGCAGACACCATTTACTTAAAACAACCTGATAATGATCAGCCAAACAAGGTCCTAATGCTAAGCCTTGCTTGTATGGGCTCAAGCAAGCAGGAAGGGAGTGAAACAGCAAGCTCGAAGGAGTTTTGCGACAAATTGGATTTGTTCCCTGAACCTTGCTTGTACCAGAATAAGAAGGAAAATATTGCTATGACACTTATTTACGTAGATGACCTTATTATAGCAAAAAGGCAAAAAAAAATAACAGATTCTTTCGAATGCGTGGACAAAGGACCCTTGCAGCTGTTCAGCTGTTGGGTGAAATCACATTATGTTAGCTGTGTCGGCAAGGCATGGAAAACTGCAGATCAACCGCCACGCATTTGGAGGCAGGATACCAAAATGTGTGCAAAAGTGAGGAGTCTCGCAAGGTAGATGCGCAGACATTCCAATAACTTATTGGCGAACTACTGTGGCTGGCGTTGTCGACTAAGCCGGATATTTTTCATTCAGTGTTGTTTCCATTTGTGTGTGGGAAGCAAGATCACATAGAGGAGGGGGGAGTGCGTTGGTGTCGAGTGCGCAAGACGGGAGGGGGATGGAAGGGGAATTGGGTGGGCATGGAGAAAGGGACGGTGGTGTTATGTTTCCATTTGTGTGTGGGGAGCAAGATCCCTTTTGTTTACGCTGGATGCGATTAGTTGGGATAGGGAGAAGGGGAGGGGTAGTGCGCTGTTGACGCATGCGCAAGCTGCTATGTTATCAGCGAGTTTTGTGTTGAGCGAATCGAGCCCTTGAGTGTGGGAAACTGAAATGAAGTGAATATTATTTTTAAATAAAATTTATTTAGTCAACTGAAAGTTTTAAAGTGAAAACGTCATCGACATCAGCACGCAATATTCAAAAAATGTCGTCAACATCAACAAGCAATAATCAAAGTGCAGAACGCTTTTGTGAGTGTTTGTGGAGAAGGTGTACCTCATAATCGCTGGACGCAACATTTGCGAACAAATGATCATAAAAATAAGGCCTTTA